TATATCTTTTGCCCCAAACAGAATCTTATTGTTCCTGCCTTTAATTGTCCTACCCCATTCATTTCCATTTTCTCTGGTTCGTTTGTTTAAATTTTCTGTACATTTCCCTATAATTATACCTTCTGTCATCATCTTCAATTTATTTGCATTTCCTTTCTAGATCATCTTGTCTGTATTCCCTTCGAATTTCTTTGTTAATTTTTATTTAAGCCTCCCTTCGTTATCTTAATTAATTTTTCATCCACTTACTTTTAGTCTCATTCCTCCTATGTCCTTTAAGTTTTTCCCCAGTCTCTAACATTAATTATTTGTAATATTTAAATTGTTGTCTTGGTCCTTGTTCATCAAAGTTCATCCTCTAGCAATACTGAAAATCGATTTGTTTTCAATTTCATATTCTGTCCCTGCCTCTGTTTTGAGTTAACCTGGATAGGTCTTGGTTCGGGTTATTGAATTTTTTATTATTTCCTGAAATAAACTGTAATAAATTTGATTCCTGCCTATGTTGTTTACTTTGTCCTGGGGCGAGACACAAGTTTACTACAAGAAAGTATATAAGTTCTACATAAATCTACGCCTCTCAGCGAGTACATCCACACACCCAACGATTCCCTATCATATAGGAGAGGCATTATCATGTATTTTATTCATATGACTTTCATGTCCGAAGCACCAGAAGTCTTACCATGGTATCAGGAGAAGACGCCTTGCATGCTATCTGCTTCGCCTCTCTTATCACTACCCTCACCCATCATAACATCCGCTTGTTGACGGTACGCACCCAAATATACGCGAAGATACACATTAACACAGATACTCGTTTACTTTCTCTTCTTGACAGATGTTGAATGTAGAACAACACTGCTCCTAATAAGTGATGAGGTACCCACACCTGTTAATAATATTGGTAGCTCCTTGTGGTCGGGTAAGGAAGATTAAATAAAAAACCTGACGACGTCATGATGGAACAACCTTCCATAGACACAGTCAAGTTGAATAATATTATTTCATATACTACTGAGTGCTTGTAAGCTAAGTGTCCACTTTAAGTGATGACGCAAAGTTTATATAGTTCATTTTTTCCAAAGAGACAAAACAGCGAGTGTAAATCTTAGTTTATCTGTAATCATGTAACTTCACTGTATAACAACCATTTAATACAGTTTCTATCCCCCTTTAACCCCGTAACACACCCACACCTGTTTTAGTGTCAGTGCATCCCAGGAAGAAGACTCCTGCTTTGGTCTGCTCACTCTGGCCTTGGCGACTCAACTTTTCCTCCTACGAAACCTGTTTATTTCTCTGATGTTTTATTTAAAAAAAAAACATCTTTGTGTTTTATGTATATTCCAGGTTTTGTTTCTTTATGTGAATAATATTAATTCTCTCACACTTTTTATGAATGATTGTCTAATACTTTATATGAGCCAACGAACTGTTTTGTGACCAAGGAATAATCTCTAAATATTGTTAAATTCCCTTAAAAATAATGCACATATCTTGCAAGTGACTCTATATGACTTAAGACGCCCTTCCCTATCTAAACAAGATTAACGTATACTTAAGGTGAGGTTAAATAAGGTTAGTCATTTATGTTTGTCATTATATTAATTTACCCGTTAGTCCCTCGGTTGAGACCACTTCAAAACTTCTCCAAAATAAGATATATTTCATTATTGCTATGTTGTAATTATACCTAAAATGCGTGACGGTGTTACTCATTGTTTGTTTTTTTCCAGCCAAAATTAAATGCAATTATATTTCGAATATAAATTTGAAAAAGTGCAAACAATATGAAGTGTTATTAATTTTCAGTCAAAAGTTTATATTTAACTGAACTCACTGGTGTTGAAGGAGCTTGATACGAAGATGAATCAATAATGTCACTAATGCAGAGAAAATTATTATGTTTTAGAACTATCACTACGTTGGGTAAATAAACTTTAATGTCAAAATTGAAGGCAAATGTGTTTAGGCTATATTGATGCCGAAAATGTTGTTATATCTATACGCATTTTAAGTCACATTATACATATATGTAGATAAAAGTCAGAGTATTAATTATTATCAATGAAATCGTGGATGCACATATATAGTATAATTACATCGTTATATATAATATACCTTACTAGTCGGGAATCGAACCCTAGACCTCTGCATGTAAACAGGGATCGCTACCACCGCTCCACAAGGTCAAAAAAGCAATCCTAAGCTTTGTTATATTCCACACAAAGCCTGTTCAAGTGTTCATCGTGCTCGTTAAGCACCGTGAACCTCCATTGGGATTGCCCGTGCCAACTATGTCTGCGTGCCATATGGACTGATGATATATATATATATATATATATATATATATATATATATATATAATGTTATAGGTCATGGATGAAGAGGAAGTATTATATAAAGAATTATCATGATCTGTGCTGAGGAAACCTCCTTAAAGGTTTCAACAAAATGATCACACACTCATCATGACGCATTTCACTCATGGTCATCAAGAGAGAAACACTACGATGACCTTGTGTCGGGTGAGGCTGGAGGTGAGGAGGAGGAGGAATGGCTGGGTATATAAGACGTCGACACCATGGCAGTCACAGACCACATCCAGTCAATCACTACTGATACGATGGTAAGACTAGTTCAGTTGGCAATATTGCATAAATATACTGTAATAAAGTATCATAATGCCTTTCATGCATGACTCTAAAGTGCCAGTCATGATTGTTATAATGTAAGAGTTTGATGAATGTGTTAAGAGTCTAACATATTTATTTTTTTCTTATCAAAAGAAGCTGCTGATGATCACCGTGAGCGCCCTCCTCCTGGTAGGGTCGTGCAGAGCAGATCGTGGCTACCACCGTGGCTCTGGAAGTAGAGGTTTCTCCCAAGGGTCCATCGGAGGCGGCTTTGGCTCCTCAGGAAGCTCCTTCCAGGGCTCTGGTAGGGGATATTCTGGTGGTCGTGGTGGTGGTGGAGCAACCATCGTCCGGGCCAATGGAGGCTTCGTTGGTTCATCAACTGGTGGTGGTGGTGGTGGTGGTGGTTATGGCGGCTCCTTCGGTGGCAACTCCTTGGGTGGCGGCTCCTTCGGTGGTGGCTCCCACGGTGGCAGCTCCTTCGGTGGTGGCTCCCACGGTGGCAGCTCCTTCGGTGGTGGCTCCATCGGCGGTGGCTCTTTCAGTCGCCATGGCAGAAATAGTTACGGGAAGTAGTAACTCCAGAGATAATGACACTAAATCATCTCGAAAAACAAAATTATTCATCAATACTTGTTGACCAGCAACTATAATAAAATATTAGACAAACAAGCCATACCATAATTTATTTCCCTTTTAATGTTTTAATGAAATGATGTGTGTGTGTGTGTGTGTGTGTGTGTGTGTGTGTGTGTGTGTGTGTGTGTGTGTGTGTGTATGTGTGTGTGTGTGTATGTGTGTGTGTGTGTATGTGTGTGTGTGTGTGTGCGCGCGCATATATCAATCTAATAAATTTATGTCTTTCATTTTTTTTTCAATTGAAAAGACAAGAATATAAGTGGAGGTGAAACTTGTCTTAAGAGGACAGAACAGTTTCAGATATAAACAACTCTTAAAACTGTAAGAAACACAGATGAAACACATTTCTCAACACATGTTCCAGATATGAATCACTAGTTGTTGAAACCTTTGCTAGAAAACTGTCTTTTGTTTTCCTTGATGAAGAATCTGAAAACCTAACCTTATCCATTCAAACTAACCTTATTTGCTCAAAGTTTATCGTTGTCCATGATTATAATAATTATTGGTTTATGAAGCACAAGAGAAAGCGATTAAATTTGCTTTAAAACAATGCCAAACTCAGGTGATGATCTTCTGGAGAATATTTTATTATTTAGCTTCAGTGATAACAAGTGTTCACCGAATTGGAATAAATGATGGCTTTCACATGAACCCAGAGGATGAACTCGAGGCAGGTCAAAGATTACTCAATTTCTTATTCAGAACAACACAGAAATTCACCATCGTTCACAGTGGGCTCCAAAGACTTACTTAGATTTCTTTCGATATTTCCAAGAATATCCTGATTGGGACATTTGTTGCAGTAGTCGAGAGATCAATCAAATGGCATCTCTGGTATCTTTCCGAACAGGATTCCGAAGCGAGCCATGGTGCAAAACCAGAGTCATTCAAAGCCTAAAAAGGGATTAATGAGGGTGGAAGGGAAACTCATCAACATCAATGTCTCTCCCTTTGACTTTCACAGACCAGATGGCCGAAAAGATACTTTAGGAAAAGTCCCCCTAATGAAAATGTAGCAGAGTATCAAAAGCTCCTCATAATTCTCACGGGGATGATTTCCGTTCTGAAGGACATTGCTGAGGAATGACATCATCGTCCTCTTTTGAGTTTAAAATATTGATCAGAAACAAATAGTTCAACAAGGCTGGGATCTTGTTCGGCATTGTCGTACTTGGACTGATCAATTAATGGCCAGTGATTTTTTTTTACTCTTTGAAGAGGCTAATATCAGGTCCTGACGAAGCTCCATAGCTAAGGTTGAAGGAATCTTTAAGAATTGCCAAAGCAGCGGCCTCCCTAGCTTTTCCTCAAATCGAATACAGACGCTCTGTATCATCCCAGTATTCGGTGCTGTTGTATCGAATCCCATGCCACTAGTTCTTGGTTCCACTCCACCTCCTCTGACTCCCTTCATGACAGTTACAGTTACCTGTTCCCCAGTGCCGTCAGTAGTAGCAGAAACTCCCAGAAGTTCTTCAGTATCCTCTTCGGTTACCAATGAGGGAAATGGGTGTAATTTGGCCATTTTACAGTAGGCATCGGTAGAAAAGCTTACATATTGTGCAACTCCCTAAATATTGACCAATTTGGATAAAATTTGGTTGTTACTTACATCAAGTGGAACTCGGGTAACTTGTACTTGTTCACTCATAGAAAAAAGTGTTTTAGAAACACCATAAAGAACAATTGTATAACTTGGGGTAACAAATCATCCATTAGTTTCAGTTAAAGATTTATTCATGGTCGACATACCAGGAATTTATAAAATGATTTCATGTAATTTTGGCAGCCATCCTGTTTTTATTTTGGTAGTTCTTAACTTTCTTAGGTAAACATCGCTTATTTTCCATAGCCATAAGAACGGCTACCAAAGTTTCTACCACCAATTGAGGATCCAACGAATCTCCCGGAGGACGCACCACCACGACCTCCGTGGGATCCTCCGAGACTGCCGCCGAAGGAGCCGAAGCCATTGCCTCCACTGGAGAAACCGTGTGAACCACCACCGAAGCTGCTACCTCCACTGGAGAAACCTCTGTGTGAGCCACCGCCGTAGAAGCCAGCTCCACTGGAGAAACCTCTACCTCCGCTGGGGAAGCTAGACTGTGCGTGGATGATAGAGCCGCCGCCGAGACCACCCTGACCCCCAAATCCTCGACCTAAACTTCCTCCATAGCGTCCACTGGAGATTCCTCCACCGGAAAATCCTCCTAAACCTCCTCCTCTGGAGAAAGTGTTGAATCCACCTGAAGAGCCACCTCCATGGTGGCCTCCGTCTCCTCTACAGGACCCCAACAGGAGGGCAGCAGCACTCACGGTGATCAGCAGCAGCTTCTGCCAAACAAAAAATATAAACATATAAAACACAAGAAACACTTACACTATCACATTTAACACAGTTGTAAAGTTTAATTAAAGGTATGCAATAGCAAGATAAGGTATCAGCCATATGAGCCCAGAGATAAAGAACATAACAGTAATTTAGCCACATGCGAGCAGTGGACACTTTGTTACATTATTATGATTGAAATTCTAAATGAAAAAAATCATGTAAAGGAAACTCAAAGAACAGCGTAAAAAAAGACGACTGCTATGAGAATATTCTTTAAGTCAAAGAATATTACACCAGTAGAGAGACTAACCATGGCGGGTACAGAAGAGTTAACCTAGTGAAACAGACTGGTGAAGCGTCTTATATACTGTACAGTAGCGCCACTCTGGGGCCATTCATGCTGCTGCGAGGTCGACTTTCGTTTCTGTTGTTGTCCGTGAACTTCGCGACGATGAATCGTGAGTTTTTTTTTACGTATAGACTCAGAGCGTTAATAAGAGTTACAGTACAGTATATAATTATATGAATATGCGATGAAACAAACTGCAATAAGCTTATATATATATATATATATATATATATATATATATATATATATATATATATATATATATATATATATATATATATATATATATATATATATATATATATATATATATATATATATATACAGTGTGTCCAAAATAATTCAAAACTCTTTAGAATAAACAGAAAATCTAAAATGTTTATTCTGAAAAACGAAAACCCTTTCATAACCTCTATGCAAAACCTAAGTTAAAGTCAGACTCATTCTAAGTTTCTTCATAGCCCCACTCCACATTGCCTATCCCCCTCTTCATGAATAACGTGCATTACGGTATATATATATACAAAAGTGACCTCTCATACGACGCAGGAGGGTCTGTTTGTTCTGTGTGACCTGCCACCAGCCTTTAAGCAGTAGATAGGTAATATTTCTATCGTAAGCCTGATATGGTCTCATTCATTACCTTGGTAGTGCTCTCCAGTGTTATTTCAACCTACGTAATAGAATGCTGTATTACATACGTAGAAATCTATCTGTAGTGCCTAATATGACTCGTGGTGATCAGTTACATCGATGCTGTATACGTCGTTGACAGTAGTGTGGTGTATGGGCTGTATTAATTTTGTCGTAAAATATTGGTGAAAATTGTCCTCAGTCATTCAAACAATCAAGACTGGCATTCAAAGACTTGATTAACGGAGCATAAAACTCATGGGAGTGCTATACAGTATATCAGTAATGATTCCTTAGGATTTTTTATCATTTTCAAGTCTCACCAAACATATTATATATCATGTAAATGTGGGTGTGTGTGTGTGTGTGTGTGTGTGTGTGTGTGTGTGTGTGTGTGTGTGTGTGTGTGTGTGTGTGTGTGTGTGTGTACCAAAAATAATCGCCATTGTGAGGCAACTCCACGATGGCATGAACGCCAGTGTGCTGCACAGTGGCACCCAGTCTGAGTTTTTCCCATCCAAACGGGGGTAAAACAAGGATGTGTACTGGCACCAACTCTCTTTTCCATTTTCTTGGCTGCCTTCCTTACTCGTGCCAGTGCCAATTTAGCTGGCGAGATGGACATAGAGTACCGGATGAAGGGTCTTTTCAACATAAGACGACTTTAGGCAGGAACCAGGGAGTCGGCAGCTTCAATAACTGAACTTCAGTATGCAGACGACCTCACCCTTGTCGCTCACGTTCAACGCGACCTACAGAAATCCTGAACACTTCCTCAGATGCGTATGTACACTTCGGCCTTGAGGTGAATGTACGTAAGACTCAGATTCTCTTTCAGCCTGCCCCTGGTTCAGCCACACCTCCACCATCCATCCAGCTTAACGGTACTACCCTATCTAATGTTACCCACTTTCGGTATCTCGGCTCCGACCTGTCTACTACTGCGGACATCGATGAAGAGATTCTACATTGAATCAGATGTGCATCTCAAGCCTTTGGTAGACTCCGGTATCATTTTGTATCACTACCTCAGAGAGAATTTACTCTCAGTAACTACTTCCACTGTGACCCCCACCAATCACTGCTTGTATTATAACACCTAGATTGTTCATCACTCTTGGGAATGTTTCAAGTGAAATATTCCGAATAGATTATTTCGGTATTATAAAATCCGTGTGCCAAATATTGTTACGGATCAAACATATACTGTCTCCTTAAATTTAAGCTCTGTTACTGACTTTGTGAAAGTACTCGGTAGAGCTATGTCGCAGTGTAACTTTACCGAGAGTGCTCTAGTTAAGCTGCATCTTGAAACTGTTAGTGGTATTCAATGTTTTTCTCAATGTCGTGTTATAGATAGTAGTAAAACTTCACTTACGTCTTGTCCAGTATATTATTGGCACATACTATATTTTCCACAACTGAGGATGTAACGCGGATAGAACCATGATGTTTGTTTGATAAAAAAACAAAAACATCTATAATGCCTCATGCTTCGAACAATATGACACCCCTATTCTGTCACCTTAATCATGAACTTTAGCTACCATGGCGACTGTGTCTCATGGTTCTTTATCCTTTGCAGAGTCGCAGGGGATATAGTTGGATGCTGCGTACCTCATGAGTATGTAAACTTTGCCAACCCTCATGTTAATTGGGAGTTTAGCGCGTTCTTTCAACAACAAGAAGCACAACCACATATTACGTGTTGTTCTGAATAAGAAATTGAGTAATCTTTGACCTGCCTCGAGTTCATCCTCTGGGTTCATGTGAAAGCCATCATTTATTCCAATTCGGTGAACACTTGTTATCACTGAAGCTAAATAATAAAATATTCTCCAGAAGATCATCACCTGAGTTTGGCAATGTTTTAAAGCAAATTTAATCGCTTTCTCTTGTGCTTCATAAACCAATAATTATTATAATCATGGACAACGATAAACTTTGAGAAAATAAGGTTAGTTTGAATGGATAAGGTTAGGTTTTCAGATTCTTCATCAAGGAAAACAAAAGACAGTTTTCTAGCAAAGGTTTCAACAACTAGTGATTCATATCTGGAACAACATGTGTTGAGAAATGTGTTTCATCTGTGTTTCTTACAGTTTTAGGAGTTGTTTATATCTGAAACTGTTCTTTCCTCTTAAGACAAGTTTCACCTCCACTTATATTCTTGTCTTTTCAATTGAAAAAAAAATGAAAGACATAAATTTATTAGATTGATATATGCGCACACACACACACACACACACACACACACACACACACACACACACACACACACACACACACACACACACACACACACACACACACACACACACATCATTTCATTAAAACATTAAAAGGGAAATAAATTATGGTATGGCTGATTTGTCTAATATTTTATTGTAGTTGCTGGTCAACAAGTATTGATGAATAATTTTGTTTTTCGAGATGATTTAGTGTCATTATCTCTGGAGTTACTACTTCCCGTAACTATTTCTGCCATGGCGACTGAAAGAGCCACCGCCGATGGAGCCACCACCGAAGGAGCTGCCACCGTGGGAGCCACCACCGAAGGAGCTGCCACCGTGGGAGCCACCACCGAAGGAGCCGCCACCCAAGGAGTTGCCACCGAAGGAGCCGCCATAACCACCACCACCACCACTAGTTGATGAACCAACGAAGCCTCCATTGGCCCGGACGATGGTTGCTCCACCACCACCACGACCACCAGAATATCCCCTACCAGAGCCCTGGAAGGAGCTTCCTGAGGAGCCAAAGCCGCCTCCGATGGACCCTTGGGAGAAACCTCTACTTCCAGAGCCACGGTGGTAGCCACGATCTGCTCTGCACGACCCTACCAGGAGGAGGGCGCTCACGGTGATCATCAGCAGCTTCTTTTGATAAGAAAAAAAATAAATATGTTAGACTCTTAACACATTCATCAAACTCTTACATTATAACAATCATGACTGGCACTTTAGTCATGCATGAAAGGCATAATGATACTTTATTACAGTATATTTATGCAATATTGCCAACTGAACTAGTCTTACCATCGTATCAGTAGTGATAGACTGGATGTGGTCTGTGACTGCCATGGTGTCGACGTCTTATATACCCAGCCATTCCTCCTCCTCCTCACCTCTAGCCTCACCCGACACAAGGTCATCGTAGTGTTTCTCTCTTGATGACCATGAGTGAAATGCGTCATGATGAGTGTGTGATCATTTTGTTGAAACCTTTAAGGAGGTTTCCTCAGCACAGATCATGATAATTCTTTATATAATACTTCCTCTTCATCCATGACCTATAACATTATATATATATATATATATATATATATATATATATATATATATATATATATATATATATATATATATATATATATATATATATATATATACAGTATATATATCATCAGTCCATATGGCACGCAGACATAGTTGGCACGGGCAATCCCAATGGAGGTTCACGGCGCTTAACGAGCACGATGAACACTTGAACAGGCTTTGTGTGGAATATAACAAAGCTTAGGATTGCTTTTTTGACCTTGTGGAGCGGTGGTAGCGATCCCTGTTTACTTGCAGAGGTCCAGGGTTCGATTCCCGACTAATGAGGTATATTATATATAACGATGTAATTATACTATATATGTGCATCCACGATTTCATTGATAATTAATACTATGACTTTTATCTACATATACGTATAATGTAACTTAAAATGCGTATAGATATACCAACATTTTCGGCATCAATATAGCCTAAACACATTTGCCTTCAATTTTGACATTAAAGTTTATTTACCCAATGTCGTGATAGTTCTAAAACATAATAATTTTCTCTGCATTAGTGACATTATTGATTCATCTTCGTATCAAGCTCCTTCAACACCAGTGAGTTCAGTTAAACATAAACTTTTGACTGAAAATTAATAACACTTCATATTGTTTGCACTTTTTCAAATTTTTATTCGAAATACAATTGCGTTTAATTTTGGCTGGAAAAAACAAACAATGAGTAACACCGTCACGCATTTTAGGTATAATTACAACATAACAATAATGAAATATATCTTATTTTGGAGAAGTTTTGAAGTGGTCTCAACCGAGGGACTAACGGGTAAATTAATATAATGACAAACATAAATGACTAACCTTATTTAACCTCACCTTAAGTATACGTTAATCTTGTTTAGATAGGGAAGGGCGTCTTAAGTCATATAGAGTCACTTGCAAGATATGTGCATTATTTTTAAGGGAATTTAACAATATTTAGAGATTATTCCTTGGTCACAAAACAGTTCGTTGGCTCATATAAAGTATTAGACAATCATCCATAAAAAGTGTGAGAGAATTAATATTATTCACATAAAGAAACAAAACCTGG